AGATGAAGTAGAAGAAGAAGAAGAAGAAGAAGAAGAAGAAGAAGAAGGAGAAGAAGATGAAGTAGAAGAATATTAAGAAAGAAGAAGATGGGGAAGAAGTAGAGGAAGAAAATATAATTAGGGAGAAGAATAAGAGGATGAAGAAGGATAGGAAGAAGAATATTTGGAATAAAATGAAGAAGAAGAAGAAGATGAATAAGTACAAGAAGAAAAGTAGATGAAGAATAGGAAAAAGAAGAATAATTATTTTAAGAAGAAGATGAAGTAGAGGAAGAAGTAAAGGATGAAAAACAAGAAGAGGAAGGAAGAATAAGAAGAATAATGAAGAAGAAGAAGAAGAAGAAGAAGAAGAAGAATTAGAATGAAGAAAATATAGAAATAAGCAGAAAATTACAATGAAGAAGAAGAAGAAGTATGAAGATGCAGAAGAAGAAGAAGAAGAAGAAGAAAAAAGATGATGAGGAATAATTAGAAGAAGCAGAAGATGATGAAGAAAGAATAAGAAGTCAGCAGTAGATGAAGAATTTGAAAGACGAAATAGAAGAAGAAAGTTCAAGAAGAAGTAGATGAAGAAGAAGAAGAAGAAGAATAAAGAAGAATACGAGGATGTAGAGAAAGAATTAGAAGCGAAAGAAGAAGAAGAAGAGGAAGAAAAGGAAGAGGAAGAAGAACGCAGGGAAGAGGAAGAAGAAGATGAAAAAGAATAAGAAGAGGAACCAAAAGATAGAAGAAGATTAAGATGTATAAGAAAAACAGGAATAAGAAGAAAAAGATGAATATGATGATGAATAAGATGAGGAATCAGAAGAAGATTATGAAAAAGAAAAATAAGATGAAGAATAAGAAGAGTAAGAAGAAGTATATGAAAAAGGTCAAGAAGAAGAGGAAATAAGACAAAGAAACAAGAAGATGAAGAAGAAGAAGAAGAAGAAGTATGAAGAAGAAGAGGTAGAGGAGGAATAAGAGTAGTTGGAATAATAAGAAAAGATGATGAAGAAGAAGAAAACGAAAAATTACAACAACAAAAGAAGAAGAAGATGTAGAAGGAGAAGAAGTGGAAGAAGAAGAAGAAGAAGAAGAAGAAAAACAAGATGAAGAAGAAGAACAAGATGATGAAGAAGAAGAAGAAGAAGAAGAAGAGGAAGAAGAAAGAAGAAGACGATGAATCAGAATAATAAGAAGTCGAACAAGAAGACGAATATGAGGAAGATTATGAATAAGAAGAGCGAGCAGAAGAAGAGGAAAACGACATAGAATAAGAGGATAAAATGAAGAAGAAGAAGAAGAAGAAAAATGAAGAAGAAGAAGAGGAAGAAGAAATAAGATAAAGTAAGAAGTAGCATAGAAATGAAAAAGATGAAGATGAAGAATAATAATTTTACTAATAATATGAAGACAAAGAGGAAAGAAGAAGAAGTCGGAAGAAGACGTACAAGAAGGAAAAGAAGTAAAAGATGAAGAAGAATAAGAAGAAGAAGAAAGAAGAAGAACGAAGATGATGAAGAACTAAAAGAGGAAGAATAAGAGGAGCGATAAAATAAAGACAAAAAAGACGAAGAGACAGAAGAAGAAGAGGAAGATGATGAAGTGGAAGAAGAGGAAGAGGAAGAAGAAGAAACATGTAGAAGAAGAAAGAAGAACAATAAGAGGAAAAAAGACAAAGAAGAAGAAGAAGAAGAATATAAAAGTAAAGAATATGGATATAGAAGAAGAAGAAGAAGAAGAAGAAGAAGAAGAAGAAGGAAGAAGAAGAAGAATAAGAAAAAGAAGAAGAAGCAGAAATGATGAAAGAGAAGAATATGAGGAGGAAGAAGAAGAGTAAGAAGAAGTTGACGGAGAAATAAGAAGAAGAATAAAGAAGATCAAGAAGGAGATCAAGAAAAAGAAGAAGAAGAAAGAAGAACAAGATGAAGACGAAGTCAAAGTAAAAGTAGAAGAAGAGGAAGAATAAGAAGAGGAAAAAGAAGAAGAAGTAGAAGAAGAAGAAGAAGAAGAAGAGGAAAAAGAAGAAGAAAAAATAAGAGGACGAAGATGAAAGAAGAAGCAGAAGTGGAAGATAGAAGGAGAAGATTAAAGAAGAAGAATAAGAGGAAGAAAATTAAGAAGAAGTACAAGAAGAAGAAAAATGTAGAAGAAGAAATTATACGATAAAGAAGAAATAACAAGAAGAAGAAGAAGAAAAAGTTAAAGAAGAAAACCAAGAAGAAGAAGAAGAAGAATAGGAAAAGAAAATGTGGACGCAGAGGAAGGGAAAGAAGAAGAAGAAGAAGAGGAAGATGAAGAGGAATGAGAAGAAGGAAAAGAAGCAGTTGGCCCTGCCGGATGTCCTCTTCTGGCGCAAACATTGTGGTGTCAAAATACCAAATTGTTCAGGAAAGCGACAACGAAGACTTTATCTTGCCTGCAGACAAGGCGCCTTCATGGAGCGTATTGGAGAGGACACAGTACAATGAAAATATCAATAGCTTGCTGTTGGATCGTCAGTCCTATGTCCGATGCGAATCCAATCCCATCAAAAGGCTGACAGGCGAGATTAACGCGACACTGTTTGGCATGGAGAAGTCAGGTGCAATATCGTCCATCGACCGAGGCATGGCAAGAGCACAAGAAGCGGCACTAGCCCGGTTCCATGGTCTCCCAAATGTACACACACACACAAAGAGGGCGCGGCTCTGCGGCCTATCGTATCACTAAAGGACACTGCAAACTTCGTACTGGCGAAGCGGCTACTCCGACGTCTCAATTTTCTCACCTCCGAACACCTCGAACACCACAGTCAGCTCGTCAAGGAAATTCTTGGAGTATCTTAAATGAGTAAGTCTCCTGCCAAGCCATGTCATAGTTTCCTTTGATGTCACGTGCCTTTTTACTTCTATCCCGCAGGACCTGGCAGTCGAGACTATTGAAGTACTCCTAGGAGAGAAATAGGACGAAACGGAGAATGGCCTCGGACATGCCCAAATCATCCAGCGCCTGAAGTTTTGTCTTAGGACGTACTTTACTTCCGACGGAAAATTCTACGAGCAAGTGAATGGGACGCCAATGAGATCGCCGATTTCGGGACTCATAGTCGAGGCGTCGCTACAACGGCTGGAGTCGCTGGTTTTCCGACATCACAGAGCGCAATTCAGTGTACGCTATGTGGATGACACTTTGGTCGTCATCGAACTGCATCAGGTGATGACATTCAAAAAACAGATCAACGCCTTCTTCACGGGAATTCAAATAACGATGTAGCAGAAGAAGAAGAAGAAGATGATGATGATGATGATGATGATGATGATGATGATGATGATGATGATGATGATGATGATGATGATGATGAAGAATAGAAATGGAAGTAGAATAATTTGAAGAAGAATAAGTGGAAGAAGAAGAATTGGATGAATATTAAGAGGAAAATATTAAGAGGAAGAAGAAGAACAAGAAAGGGGAATATTAAGAATGTAGATGAATAAGAAAAAGAAGAAGAAAAAGAAGAATAAGTAGAGGATGACCAATAAAGTATATGAAGAATATAAAGAATAAAATGAATAAGTGGAAGAGCTGGAAGAAGAATTGGAAGAATGAGTAGCGGATGAAGAAGAGATAGAGGAAGATGGTGTAGTAGAACAGAAAGAAGAATGGGATGGATAGGAAGAATAATAAGATGACGAAGAGAAAAATGAAAAATAAGAGGAGAAAGTTGAACAGGAGGATTAAGATTAATAGGAAGCATAATGATTGTAATAAGAAGAAGAAGAAGAAGAAAAATGAAGGGGTAGATTTAGATGTGAAGGAAGAATAATAGGGTGAATAATAAGCGGAAAACTTTTAATAGGAATAAGAGTGAGAGGAACAAATATACGAGTAAATAGAGGCGGTGGAAGGAGAAGAACAAGAATGAAGATATAAAAGATAGAAGATGAAAAAGTATAAGATTAAGAAGAAGAATGATGATGAAGAAGAATTTTGAAGAAGAGGAAGACGAAGAAGGAGGAAGAAGTATAAGAATAAATAACAGGAAGAAGCAGAAGAAGAAGAAGAAGAAGAATAAGAAGAAGAAAGTAGAAGAATAATCAGAAGGATGATGAAGAATGTAGAAGAAGAAGATGAAGATGACGTAGAGAAAGAAATAAGTAGAAGACGAAGAAGAAGAAGAAAAACTATGAAGAAGAAAACGAGGACGATGTAATAGTGTAGGAAGAAGAAGAAGAAGAAGAAGAAGAAGAAGACGAAGAAGAAGAAAAAAATAATAAGGGAATGAAGAATAATAAGAAGTGGAAGAAGTTGAAGACTAAATATAAGAAGAAGAAGTTGATGGAGAGTAAGAAGAGTAAGATGATTTAGAATAATAGGAATAAGAAAAGGAACAAGAGGAATAGGATAAAGATGAAGAAGAAGAAGAAGAAGGAGATAATGAAGTTGAAGAATAGAATAGGAAGTTAAATAAGAGGAAGAAGAATAAGTGGAAGTAGAAGAAGAGGACGAACAATAAGCGGAAGAAGACGAAGAGGAAGAAGAAGAAGAACAAGAACGTGGAAAAGGATGAGTGAAGAATAATAAGAAAAAGAAGAAACAGACGAAGAATTAAGAAGAAGTAGAAAAAGAAAAATATTATGATGAAGCAGAATGTAGAAGATGAAGAAGAAGAAGAAGAAGAAGAAGAATAAGTAGAGGTAGACGAAGAAAGTAGATGAAGAAGAAGAGGAAGAAGAGGAAGAATGAGAAGAGAAGGAAGAAGAAGTGGAAGAATGAGAAGAGGAAGAAGAAGAAGAAGAAGAAGAAGATAAAGAGGTAGAAGATTAATTAGAACAAGAATAGGAATAGGAAGGATAGGAAGAAGAATAAGATGAAGAAGAGGAAAAGGAAAAATAAGAGGAGAAGGATGAACATGAGGAATAAGGTGAATAGAAAACATAAGAATTGGAAGAAGATTAAGAGGAAGAAGAAGAAGAACAGAAAGGATTTAAAGAGGAAGAAGTAGAAGAGGAAGAAGAAGAAAAGAAATAATCATAATTATGAAGAAGAAGAAGAAGAAATTGAAGAACAAGAAGAAAGGTGAAGAAGAAGACGAAGAAGAAGTATTACTAGAAGAGAGAAGAAGAAGAGGAAGAAGAAGAAGAAGAAGAAGAAGAAGAAGAAGAAGATGATGATGATGATGATGATGATGATGATGATGATGATGATGATGATGATGATGATGATGATGATGATGATGATGATGATGATGATGATGATGATGATGATGATGATGATGATGATGATGATGATGATGCTGAATAAGAAAAAGAAGAATAAAGTGGTATAGGAAGAAAGAAGAAGAAGTAGTAAAAGAAGAGGAATGTGAAAAAGAGGTAGAACAAGATCAGGAAGAATGAGAAGAGGAATTAGAAGAAGAGGAAGAATAAGAAGAGGATGTAAAGAATAGAAAGAATAAGAAGAGGAAGAATAAAAAGATTAGGAAGGAGAAGTCGAAGATTAAGTAGAGGAATGTGAAGAAAAATAAAGATGATGAAGTATAAGTTTAATAAAATAGAAAAAGAAGAAGAAACTATAATGTAGAATAAGAAGAAAGTAAATGAAGAACAAGAAGAATGAATAAAGAAGAGGAACGAATAATAATAAGAAGAAGAAGAAGCAAGAAGAAGAATCAGAAGAATAAGGAAAAGAGGAATAGGAAGAATTGGAATAATAAAATGTGGAAGAAGAAGAATAGGAATATTATGGTGTGGAATATCAAGAATAGAAATAAGAAGAGTAGGAAGAAGAAGAAGAAGAAGATGAAGTGGAAAACGAAGAAGAATACGAGGGAGAAGAAGAAAAAATAAAAAAGAAGAAGATGAAGTAGAGGAAAAAGAATTAGAGGAGGAAGAAGAAGAGGAAGATGAGTAAGAGGAAGAAGTAGAGGAAGAAGAATAAGAATAGAAAAAGAAGAGGGAGAAGACGAAATGGGAAAAGAAGAAGAAGAAGAAGAAGAGGAAAGAAGAAGAAGAAGAAGAAGAAGAAGAAGAAAGAAGAATTAGAAAAAGTAGTAGTCGAGGATGAATAAGAAGAGGATGTTTAAGATGTGGAGGAAGAAGAAGAAGAAGAAGAAGAAGAAGAAGAGGAGGAGGAGGAGGAATAAGACGAAGAATAAGAATATGAAGATGAAGAATGGGAGGAAGAAGAACAAGAGGAGGAATAAGAGGAGAAAGAAAAAGAGGAAGAAGAAGAAAAAGAAGAAAAAGAGGTAGAGGACTAATAAGAAGAATAAATAAGAATAAAAATAAAAAAGAAAGAGAAGTAGAAGTAAGAATATGAAAAGGAAAGAGAAAGAATAAGACGAAGAAGAAGAAGAAGAATAGGAAGACAATGAAGAGGAAAAAGAAGAAGAAAAAGAAGAAGAAGAAGAAATATGACGTATTACATGATGTACAGTGCGTGATCTATCTCATGAAATGTTTGCTGAAATTCTGAAATGTGTTTTCGATTAGGAAGGATTACTTGGTCGCGGTTGTGAGACTGATTATCTTAAGGCATACTCTTATAACATTTTGGACTCGGCAGGATGTCAGATTTTAAATGCCCTTCTTCGCAATCTCCTGTAGAAAGCGCCCTCGATAAAAAATGACTACTTAATTAGCATGCATTGTTCCCATTGAGGTTCGATGGTCTTTGAAATTCAAATATATTTTATAGAAACCACAAACAAATTTATGCCTTCTTTTAGCCAATCAATAGAGAATCACGTCTTCTTTATATTTTATACTTAAGAAGGGAGTATAATTAGGTTTTAAAAAAGTTTTCTAATTGCCGAAAAATTCGGAGACTGATCATGTGTTGCATTAGCGCTTATTGATTACACTCTACAAGGTGCATGCGTTCCGCGTAAAGAAAATCCCATATTTTTCTATGTCATTAAATAAATATCATACAGGGCCCATAAAATTTTGCAATAAATGCGGACCATGTTGTACATTTCATGTGGAGCAGTGGAAAACGGCCAGCTGCGATGCTATGTGAATGGACATATCGCGGTCTTAAAATGTCTCATAATTAGAAACTTTTTTAAAACCTAATTATACCCCTTCCTTAAGTATAAAATATAAAGAAAACGTGATTGTCTATTGGGTGACTAAAAGAAAGCATATT